TTTTTTTTTTTTTTTTTTGCTTTAAAATAACTTTTTTGAAGGAAATTTTGCTCTCAAAGCAAAACCTGTCTCACTCTCTCACATAAGAAAAAATCACGTACTTTCTGCTTTACAGCATTGATTGGACAGTAATGAAGCACGCAAATAGCAAAAGAATTGAAAGAACCAATAATTTACTTGTATCCGCTGAAGCCGGATTCATTGCCCGTTTGAAAATGATGCTCTGCAAATCACGATAGTGACCGCCATCCTTGACCAGAAGTCGGCCTTTCACCAAGCCAAAAACCAGCGCAGAGCTTTCCACGCTTTCTGCAAAATGATACGGTAACAAGGGCTTCTACCGGTACCGCTGGAGGAGTGAAGCGTCCAGGATATCCAGAACAGTTGCTAATTCACCGTTTCTTTGCAAAGTCTGAATCTGGCAATTTTTCCACTTGCTTTGACCTGTGCTACATTGTCTGGTAACTAGCCTGTTTGTGATTCTGATATTTATATTTTTCCTGCTGAAGGGATGACCAACTCAACCGCTCTTCAAACACTCTTGGTTTGTAATAAAGATAAAAATATTTGGGCACAAAAAAAAGTAATGATATAAATAATAGTGAACAAAGCCGTAAAAACAATAACAATAGGATAGTAAGATTAAAAAATAAGCCAGAATTCAGTAGCTCCTTACCAACTTCACATCTGCATTCGCGCCCAAGGAATGCCTTGTGTATGTCCATCTGATCAGCGTTTGGCACCAGTACTGGGCAAATGCATTTGAACACACCGAACTCCATCACATCATCCGGGAAACAGTAGATGTTGTCAAATGAAACATCTGAACGGATGCCCTTGTCGATCAGATACATCTGCAACTTTTTAAAAAAACTGCAATATTTTGAAATCGAACAACCAGTCTCTCAACGTTTCGTCCATTTGTTTTGATGGCAAATTGGTACTGACACATCAGTCTGCTTCTCAGAGAGCCATCGTCAACCCTACCGCTGGAGTAGGTGTTGCCTTTTGGGCTGCCTTCGATTATCCTACCCTCCCAAAGAAAGAATGAGCTTTTTAAATTCTTGATGCCTTGATTTCTTGCTTTTTTTCGGGATGCGAGAGACTGTCAACCATCAGAAAGAAAACTATGAGTCTTTGGAATGGATCTATACGAAAGTTAAGAAAGCGGAGAGGGGTAAGGACGGGAAGAGGGGAAGGGACGGGGAAACGGAGGAGGACTGGACAAAATAAGGGCAGAGGGAAAAGGGGAGGAGGGAAGGGGGAAGGTGGGATACCTTTCGGGCACACAACGCTACAACCGAGTAACACTTCAGTGATAGCAGAGACTTCATACAGATAGCATGAGCTCATCACAGCTGTATCAAAAACTTGCTCAGTGAATTAAGTAAAAATCTCGACGAACATGAAAATATTACCGAGTAGAGGTGAGAGTTCAGCTTCTGGACGACAAACGATCGTTCCAGAGATCCTTTTACGTCCGCAATGTAAACCTCGCCTGAAAATAATATACATTAAAAAAACAATAATTTCTGTATGATTACAACACAATTAAACGAGATGCTGCAGAAGCTCAATGTACGAAGTAAGCTTCATGCACTGAGCGCGAAAATTAACGAATCGAAAACGAATGTAATGTAAGATGTCGCTGGGCCCGTTATAAAACTGCAGATAGATGGTGGAAGAAGCTGACAGCTACATCTATCTTGAACAGGAAATAAATTCAATCGCCATCTGGAGATGCGCGCTGAAGCA